TCTCTCTCTTGTTTTTGTGGCCAGGGTCACAAATTGGTTGGATGGATATACATTACTGGTGCATCGAGGAGATCGATCCATACATAATGCTGGGAAGAACCTGCTGCAGTGCCTTCTGCTTTCTCTCTCATGTTTTTGTGGCCAGGGTCACAAATTGGCTGGATGGATATACATGACTGGTGGGTCGAGAGGAGATCAATCCATACTGAAGGCTGGGTCGAGAGTAGATCTGGGTCGAGAGGGAGATCGATCCATCCCGAAGGCTGGGTCGAAGGCTGGGTCGAGAGGAGATCGATCCATACCGAAGGCTGGGAAGAACCTGCTGCAGTGCATGTCCAGTCCGAGAATCCAACACACAGCGAGCGAACGGCTTGCTAGGCGAACACCTATTAACCAGTACTAGGCCAAGTGGGCTGCATTGGTCTGGTTATGGGTATGTAATAGTGTACAGATCTCCCTTGCTGGCAACGGCCTGCCGCATTCCATGTCCAATCCTAGAGTAGAACACATACCCAATCTACGGCTTGTCAGGCGAACACCTTACGTTACCTATTCTTACGTGCCCTGCAGTGGTTTGGCTATGGTTATGTAATTATAGTGTGGACATCTCTTCCCTTCCTGGCATGGGCCTGCTGCAGTGCCCTGGTATGTACTAGGCCCACAATTTTAGGAAATGTACGGGCCAGTACAGGAGTGCCCGAATTCATCCGACTAGAAACATTTTTACTAGATGATGAGCCAAGGTGGAGACGGAAGAGGCTGGTTTGAGGCATACATTGTCGTGCCAACGTTTCATTTGCACTGCCTTACACAACAACCTCCTGCTGTTCCCCTTGCCTCACTCACCTGTGCCCCTTGAAAAATAAAACTTGCGCTGCTCGTCGATCGGTGCCCATCAAATAACCCGCCAACACATTGGGCACACGGCCTAGTACTTGTTCTCTGGAGTGTGTCTTGAGATGAAATGCTGGCATCGTCAAACCACCAATATACTGCTTCTTAAAAAGTTGTGCCCTTTAACAAGCCACAATTTTTGGAAACGTACGGGCCAGTACAGGAGTGCCCGAATTCATCCGACTAGAAACAATTTTTCTGTTCTTTTCCCGCCGCCGATAGCTAGTCCAAGTACTGGGGGTTTAAGTGGCTCTTCGATCCGATCGGCGGACGGGAATCCGGCAGATGATCAGCAACAACAGCCAGCCGTTGCCAGGGGAGCGAGCCATCGTTAAACCGCCAGTTGTTCCGGTTGTTGGCCCCCGGACAGCGCTTCAAAAACCGGGTACTGCGGGTATCGATCAGCAAGGAGCGGAACAGTTTTTGGCCTGTGGGGAGCAGCAGGGAGCAAAACGTTTTAGGCCTGCCAAAGTTTTCTTTTTTTGGCCATCCTAGAATGTGTTTTCAAGAGTTTTTGGCACTTTTTGCTAAGTTTTTAAACTTTTAGATATGTTTCCCAGAAAGATCAGGTCCAAGTCTACATCAATTTTCTTTGTCAGAATTTTGGACACGCCATTGCGAGTGCGGAAAATGGCCAAAGTCTGCACACTCAAAATTTTGGTCAATGACACTGAACCCCCCCCTTCCGCCCCCCTCGCCCCCCATCTTGAGGTCGTCAATTTGGGTGTCTCCAACCCCGCGGTTGGATAAATAAGTCAGTCCTGTCGGCAGCTCTCTGTAATCATAGGGGGGTTCATTTTCCATGAAGGGGTGGGGGGGGGGGGGGGGGGGGAGGGAGGGGAGTGCGTAGCGTTTTCCGGAGCTTGCCCCTGATGCTTGGAGGCCCATTTTTTTTGAGGATGATTAGGCGGCGGATACAAACTCCTCCGCCGGAGTGCACTCGCTGTGCTGCATTATTCTCCCAAGAAGCTAGCTCTGCAAGCACAGATTTTAGGTGCTCATATATAAAAGAGCCTAGCTCAGTTGGTGCTCCCATGAACTCTTGAAATACAGACCCAAGTTCGAGTCCAGATGTAATCAGATGAACAGAATCAGATTTCAGGTGCAAATGCAAAGGCAGGGAGAAGACCAGAAGCCGGATCGGACGTCTCTTTTGATTAAAAAATGAGAAGAAAAAGAAGAAAAAGTGTTTGTATTATAGCTCATTCCCAGTGCACGAAGCGCATTGCATTGCGCAAGGCAAGGCAATGGTGACGATCAGTTCCCCACTGGGCAGTCGACGAGTGAAACCGCCTGCGGAAGATGTGGTGTCTATATAACCAGTCCTGTGCAGCAGTGGCAATCTTCTGTCCCTGCCGCCTGCGAAAGATGTGGCGTAGATTCCGTAGAACCAGTCCTGTGCAGCAGTAGCAATCTTCTTTCGCTGCCGCCTGCGAAAGATGTGGCGTATATAACCAGTCCTGTGCAGCAGTAGCAATCATCTGTCGCTGCCGCCTGCGAAAGACGTGGCATATAACCAGTCCTGTGCAGCAGTAGCAATCCTCTGTTGTTGCCGCCTGCGAAAGACGTGGCCCATAACCAGTCCTGTGCAGCAGTAGCAATGTTCTGTGGCTGCCGCCTGCGAAAGATGTGGCGTATATAACCAGTCCTGTGGAGCAGTAGCAATCTTCTGTCGCTGTCGCCTGCCCTTCTTTTTCTAAGGGAAACATCCGGAAGCACAGATGCAACCCAGAAAAGGACTAGTCGGAGAGCAATTATAATAAATGTGGGTGGAATAAGTGCCCAGTGAACCTCTGTTGAAGTTCCGACCGACCAGAAAGACGGAACGGAACAGTAGACTTTCATCTTGTGTCCAGATCTGAGTCTGTCTTTTTTTTGGGCTGATTGACCCAACAAGGTTTGTCAAAGACTCAGGAACCAGGGCAGATTCGCTCAGCAGTTGATGGAGTGCAGTCGTGGCTAGAAGAGAGAGAGAGAGAGAGAGAGAGAGAGAGAGAGAGAGAGAGAGAGAGAGAGAGAGAGAGAGAGAGAGAGAGAGAGAGNGAGAGAGAGAGAGAGAGAGAGAGAGAGAGAGAGAGAGAGAGAGAGAGAGAGAGAGAGAGGGAGGGAGAGTGGGTGTGCGTTCTTTCTGTCGCCGACCAGATAGCTTGGTAAGTGGAAGGAGAAGTGAGGTTGATGCTGTTTTTGGAGTTTTGGGGAAATAAGAATTCTCTTAGAGGCCCTACTCTGTCAGATTTTGTAATGTGGTTGTAAGGGATGCTGGACCTGGTTTACAGCAGGTGTTGCTCCCAGCCACCAATAAGACCGGAGGCACAGGGGTCGGGGTAGTAGTACCTGCTGTTGCTCATGCCACCCTGCGGGATTAACCTTTTGCCGTAGTGTTGCAAAAAAAAAAAAAAAAAAAAGTTCTCTTAGAAGCTCTCCTCGCCCCTGGCATTCCTCACTGGGGGTTAGCTTCTAGGCTCAGTAGATCTCGCCTGTTCCCTCGACCCGGTAGATCTCCGCCGCTCATTCCGGGTACACTTAAGTCTCTTCCTCCGAAGGGGTATCTGGATTCGAACTTGAGTCTGTATTTCAACAGTTCAAGAGGCCGGGGGGGGGGGGGTACCAACTGAGCTAAGGCCGGTTCCCGGTTTACGTAGAGGAGGCTTATAGGCAGGTAGTGTGAGGCGTCCTTGAGTGAAGTGAAGGGTATTATAATATAGTCAAGTTTGAAGGAAAGAAAGGGATCTGTGACGATGGCCAGCATTCGATCCTTGGGTGGGTGTTCCTCCCGCAGAATGTACTGGCAGGTGGTGTGCCTCTCCTCGTGGCTTTTTCAAGTTCTTCTACTCACCGTGTCTCAATGTGAGACCTTGGAGACTTCCGAGAATGCCGGGAATGCTGCGACCAAAAGCTTCTCTTTCCTTCAGGCATCGTCTGATGACAGTGCTCTTCCTGAGCCGCTGCCAATGCTATTGCGTTTCATCGAAAACGCAACGCAACGCAATGCTGTCTGTGCAGATGCTACACCTGGTGGGTATTACCTTCGCAACTACACTGGTATTACAAAATGGGTGATTTTTTTGGAAGGAGACCCAAATGTCGTGGAGGAGCAATTTGTGGTGGGCAGGTGGAAGGATGGGACTCCGAAAAGGTACGCAATGTCGTCCACGGGCTGGGCACCGAATTTATCGGGCTATCTGTTGGTGTCGCCGTATGCCAGCGAGAACCCGACCTTCTACGGGTTCAATCATGTCTTGCTGAGGTATTGCAGCGAAGACTTCTGGATGGGCGATGTTCCACCATCGGATGTAAATGGGACTGGCACTATGCGAGGATTCCGGATCTTGCAAGAAACTCTGGCAGATATCCGGGATCTTGAACGGGCTACGGACATTGTTTTTGCTGGTAACAGCGCTGGGGCAATCGCGGTCATGAAGCATGCAAACTGGCTGCATAAGTACCTGCGGAGCTCCCGCTTCAAGGCAGCGTCCAGCACTTCTCCCTCGCTGAAGATCATCCTAGACTCTCCGTTCATCATCGAGCACGGAGGCATGCTCAATGCTGCTGGAGACTCGATTCGCCCCATCATCGATAGTGACCCGGACTGTAGCTTGGTCGATGGTATACCATGCTGCCTACTTCCGTACTGCATGCTGGCATCGATCAAAAGGGAAACCAACATGGGTGTGTTCTTAACTGCGAGCCTGTATGATGGTTACGTCTTGTTCCGCGCGACGAATGTGGGCACGAAGACCGCTCAGCAGGTTGTCTCCAGCAATCACATTCGGCCGCTTGATTACTATTTGTTCATGGCAGATATGGTTGGCTACAAAGAGTCCGTGAGGCAGACACTTCTGTTCAATGCCATCGCCAATAATCCTTTGATAAGCTACTTCATGCCGGCGTGCCTCCATCACTCTCTTCTACCTCCGACGAATGACTGGTTTGTCAGGCGGGAAGGGATGGGATTCCGAGAGGACGTCAATCTGACTTCGTGGTCGATCGTTTCAGTCAACGGTCGCACCCTTCGTGACGCGATCACCAAATGGTTCAACACGACAGATCTCACGTCCAAGGCGGTTGCAGTCGCAGACACCTGTCTGGGTGCACTCTGCAATCCAACTTGCCTGACGACCTACGATGTCTCTGCCACCTCATCTCATATGCTGGATAGGCCGATCTGTTTCGGCCTGCTCCTCCTCGTGTATGCATTCTTGCTCGCACCGGTCGTCCTGGAGCTCGTAATCGTCGGTAGATGGTGCAAGATGCTGGTAACACAGCAGAAGGTCTTGAAGGTCAGGGCTGTGGAAAGGGCGGAGAGAGAGGCGCAAAGGGATAGTGCGTGGAGGGAAGAGAATGATGCATTGGCAAGCAATGAGATTGGCGGTGGCACAAAGAGGGAAGGAGAAATCAGCAGTTTCGAAGACAGGCCGATGCCAGGTGTGGGACGAGGATCCTCGGCATTAGAGCGTGACTTTGGGGTTGATGCTTTGGAGGTGTCCCTGGAGGACCAAGTGTACATCACTTTCCATCAGCTGTCGTACTGGGTGGATGGCGTTGCGCCGAATGCGAAGAACGGAGTGAAACCCAAACAGATTCTGAAGACGGTGTCGGGTGCCATCAAACCGGGTGAATTGACAGCCATCATGGGCCCTTCCGGCTGCGGCAAGACGACCTTGCTGGAACTGCTGATGGGACGGCGACAGTCCGGGGTGCTCGGTGGGTCCATCATGGTGGACGGTGTCCCGTTCGAGGATCAACGGGAGTGGATGGAGGCGAATGCTGCATTCGTGAAGCAGGAGGACGTCGGCTTTGCCGAGCTCACCGTTCGAGAGAGCTTGACGTACAGCGCCATGATGAGGCTGCCACGAACCATGGACGATACGCAGAAGCTCATCAGGGTCGAGCAAGTCATCGCAGAGGTTGGGCTCAGCGAATGTGCCGATGTGATCTATGGCGGCGAGAGCGGCCCTCGTCTGAGTGGTGGTCAGCGGCGGCGGCTTTGCATTGCCACCGAGTTGCTCACCCTCCCTGTCATTATAATGCTGGATGAGCCCACTTCTGGTCTGGATGCCACCGCAGCCCTTGATCTTACTCAGCTGCTGTTGAGGCTCGCTCATACCGGGAGGACAGTCGGGATGATTGTGCACCAGCCAAGGAGGGAAATGTTCGACATGTTCGACAGGCTCATCATCATGCTGGATGGGCAGATCATGTTTTCTGGAAAAGCAAACTTGGCGGCTGAGTTCTTTAGCCATGTGCTTATGGAGGAGAGGGAGGAGAGTTGCGGCGTGAGCGGCAGCTCGTCGCCAAGCCTGGGGTCATCATCCACATCCCCCTTGTTGATCGGCGGCGGTTCAGCATCACGGCACAAGCGCCCCGGTCTTTCCGAGAAAGGGGCTTACCTGGCAGCTGCTGCCGCGAACCCAGCAGATCTCCTCATAGACCTCCTGAAATCGGATGGCAGGCGCCTTAAAAGGTTTGCGACCATGAAGTCGTTCCGCCACATCCGACAACGAAAGCTGAGCATGACCGCCTCTCCCAAGCACGACAAAGTCGGGACCGCGACCCCTCCAAGGTTCTTCCTGAGTCCACTGATACTGGCCCATATTCCCGGGGCCCGGAGGCTAGCAGACATATACAACCCCGGTAAGAACTCTTGGAAGTCATCATGGTTCACGCGGCTCTGGGCTCTGGAAGCGAGGGTGTTCACTCGTGGGGTGTGGGGTTGGCAATCGATCCTCATATTCCTTGTGGCTGGGGTCATCGGGGGTATCATCTGGATGTCAGCTGACCGCGTCGCTGTCCTCTCCATAGCCCTAACTGTGATCATTGCGATGCCGCCCTATGTGAACGCGGCGTACATTGGCGATCTCTTCTTCAAAGAGCTGCCCGTCTTCCGCTTGGAACAGGCTGCGGGCGCTTGCGACGTGTTCGACTTCATTGCCCATCATCTCATCCACAATGGATTCCTCTGGACCATCGCTGGCGTGGTCTGGATCACCCCCATGTACCGTATCCCCCCCATCGCCTATGAGATGGAGCGGTTCATGGTCTGCCTCGCCGTTTTCCTCACCATGATGCAGCTTTCCGCACGGATTTTGATGCTCGTTTCAACCGTAGTCAAGACGTTTGAGGCCGCCATTCTGTACAATGCCATCTGGCAAGGCCTGAGTCTCGCCTTCGCTGGTATTTTTGTACCCATTGCATACATACCAAGCTTTTTCCGCTGGGCCATTTACCTTTTCCCCAGTTATCTCTGTTTCTCTACTGTCTGTAAAGTCAGCTTCACAGGCAGGGTCTGGCACTGCAAAAGCCAATCGCCGTTGCAGTGCCTCTCCCGCACTGGCGATGCATGGCTCAGGTTCCTCAGTTTCGAAAGCATCAGCTCGTGCACCCATCTTGCAGCTCTCTTTACATACCACTGGGGCCTGGTTTTCGTCTCCTTCTTCTTGCTCGCCGCGCCCTGGCGACAAAAGTATCCGAAAAAACGGGCAGAGGACATGAATGTTGCAGAAAACACAGCGACAATGAGAGAATAACTGAAAGCTAGTTTCTTTTTCTTTTTCTTTTTTTGTTAAATAACAGAACCTTTCGGTTCTGGCTCCTGCCATTTCCCTTTAAATGGTTTTTTTTTTCGGACCAGTGGGCACAATGACTGAGAGTTAGTTTCCTTTTCTGTTTCAAGAGTTAGTTTTTTTCAGTTTCGTTCCTTATTATTTCTTTTCTTTCCAGAGGTAGCCAAGGTCCTGCCACAGCCATCTCTCTCTTTCCTATTGGGATCAGCTATGTTGTTTGTAATCTGATGTGAGCGGGCCGCCTCCACCAGGACTGAACCTGTTGTATCCATCATCACATCAAGCTGCTGCTGCTGCTGCTGCTCTCTCTCTCTCTCTCTCTCTCTCTCTCTCTCTCTCTCTCTCTCTCTCTCTCTCTCTCTCTCTCTCATGTGGTCCATGCACAATAATACTTGAGTGTCGGTCTTCAATTTCCTCATTTGCTACAGCCAGCAGTGCTGTGCCCCCATCAGTGGGTGACTGTAGCTGATGAATAACTGCAGTAGTACTTACTCTCTGCCGAGCGATGATCTTTGTCACTAGCTTTGCTTGGTCATAGGTCTGGCATGGGGGAGGCGTGTGGGCAGGCAAACAGCACAAGGCAGCACAGCACATAGGGTGGAAGGCATGGGGGAAGTGGGTGGGCAGGCAAACAACAAAAGGCAGCGAGGGCAAAGACACCAAGCCAAATGACGAAAAGGCAAAAGCAGCAACCAAACAAACAAGTATGAGAGATAGACAAACACTGAAATAAATTAAAAGTGCTGATGATAGACTGTTTTTGACCCATTAGGAGTCCGAACACTTGACACTCCGTTGAACCCCCGTATTGATGGTTTGGGTCATGAACCTTTTGACCCTTGTTGAAAGCAGACCGTCCCCCAGCAGAACACAGCAGCAGGCAACAACTAGTAAGTGAAGCACCAGGCAACGCTGCCAGAGCAACCCGACTGCCCAATGCCAAAAACAACTGCATGGATGACACGGCAAGCAGACGAGCAGCACAGCAACACTGCAGCGAGGTACAACTCAACGCCAGCAAAGCAGCCACTCTACACGGCACACAAGCGAAGAGTGTGGAAGGCAAGGCATGCGGATGAGCAGCAACTGCCAGCAAGGCAGCATCACAGTGCAGCACAAGGCAACATAGCCACACCGCACAGCAAACACAACAGCTACAAAGAACGACATGTGAAGCAAGCGGGATGGGCAGCAAGACAGCAGTAGAGCCCAGACAAGGAAGTCTACACATCCAACACGGACCAAAACAGCACATCACCTATTCACATCACGAGCAACCCCCGCAGACTGTTGGTTCCCACCACCTGTTGAGCCAGGGAGTCATCCGACGGATGTCTGTCATTAGACTCATTACCCATGGACCATATGCAGCACACAGACATCACGGACAGTGTCTCCCCTAAGACTTATGCAGGGACTCCAAACAACGGACAACCTACTATTTGCGCTTCTTAAATGGGCTCACTCAGGCACACAGAAAGACTGAGACAGTGCTTTGAAAGAAAAACAGCAAAAACGACATACAGAGAAAACAGTAGAAAGGCAAACAAACAAACCGAGAGAAAGATATACATCATTGATTGTGTGTGTGTGTGTGGGTGTGTGTGTAACAGTGTGTTGAAATAAACAGAACCCCGCGAATGCGGCAAGCAGCATAACAGGGCATGCAATGCCATACACGATTGCCTAACTTAAAGAAGAAAGACCTCAACACCTTTGCACAGAACAATCCATACCACATGTGAAATCAAAGCACCCATAATTGGGGTGAAACCACGGACAGGACGTCAAGAAGCAGCAAGGCAACAAGACAGACAACAGACCAGGTAACAAAAAAAAACACTGAAAAAAATAAAAACTGATGATAGATTGTTTCGTCCGAGTTGCACCGCTCATCAGGAGGCTGAACCCTCGACAATCTGCAGGATCTCCATATTTGATGGTTTGGGTCATGAACCCTCTCACCCATGGTGAACTTCAAGGCAGACTGTCCCCAAGCAGGACATAGCAGCAGGCAGCAACCCTGTGGAGCACCAGGAAACACAGTAGAGGCAACGCGGCTGCACAACACCAAAAATGACTGCAAGGAACGACATGGCACGCAGGACATGCAGCGCAGCAACCGCGTAGTGAAGCACAAGACAACACAAGCAAGGCAACGACACTGCAAGGGACGACAGGGTGAGCGGACCAGCAGCTCGGCAACCGTGGAGCGGAGTACAAGGCACCAGCAACATGGCAACCAACCTACAAGGCACACAAGCGGCAAACACGGAAGGCGCGGCCAGTGGATGGACAGCAAGGCAGCAGAGCAGTGAGGCGCAAGGCAACACCCGGCCGACAACACGGCCACACAGAACAGCGAACACAGCAACTTGCAGAGAACCACAAGCGAAGCAAGCGGGACAGGCAGCAAGGCGGCGGTGGAGCGCAGACGAGGCAGTCCGCACATCCAACATGGTGCAAAGCAGTGCATGACCTACTCACATCACGATTGAACCCCGCAGACTGTTGGTTCCCACCTCCCACTGAGCCATGGAGTCACTCCGACGAGCATCCATCATCACCCACAGGCAACACAGACATCCTGAACTGAGCGGCCCCCATAAGAGTGCAGTAGGCACTCCAAACGAGGAACCACCGACTGTTTGGCACTACTTAAGGGTGCTCAGTTGGGTAAGTAAAAGTACTTGAAAAAATCAGAGGAACACAGACGTAAAACTGATTGTGTGTGACTCTGTGTGTGTGTGTGTGTGTGTGTGTGTGTGTGTGTGTGTGTGTGTGTGTGTGTGTGTGTGTGTGTTCATCAAGATATATACATACCACCATTTCTGGTGCCGAGGTGCCAAGTTAAAAAATGTGATACATTCGGATCCAAGCTTAACAACTAGCCCCCTTCATGCTCCCTCTTTTAGTCTAGAGATATTTGTGGCTGTTTCAGCTCGATGATAGGCTAGACTGTTTATTCCAAAATAGAAACATTCAATTGGATAGGCATGCAATATAGAATTTTGACCACTTCAATGATTCTGTAATGTTTTCCAGTTCAAATCCATTAGGCGAATTCCAAAGCTCATCCAACCATTATGATCCCAAGCTATAGGACACGGAAGTTCATCTGATCGATGAATATATTTGTTTTGTTATGAATCGGATGAGGATTCTCCTTGTGTTCATTGGAGATTCTTCATGATCTGATGTTTCCAAGAGGAGGAGGAGGGGCTCGTCTGATTGAGGTGTATATCTGTGTTATATGTTCTGTCAATCAAGCGAGAAGTTTCCTTCTTGCTTCGCTCAGACTTATCAGTCATTTTAACCCCATGCGTTGTCAATTGGGTGAGGGGGAAAAAAAAAAAGATCAGGTGAGGGGGTTCCTTGAACCTCCTTCATACATAGATGGGAGGTGAAAAAGATTGAGGAAGGTGTTTGAGAAGTCTTTGCGATGAGGTCACATGAAACAGAAGTAGATAGGAACAGCATTCCATTTGAGCAATTACTCAGAACACCACATTTGTACGTAGGAGTGTCCTCGTGCAATTGGGTGGCATATATTCATAATTTCATATTGATATGCTTTGCCAATCGGGCGAGGAAATTCCTTGAAGTTCGTATCAATCTCGAACATGGGTGAGAAGAGAAAATATGAAATCACATCAAAGAAACAGGCCATTCCATTCATGTGATCAGTCTGGAGCACCGAAACCACACCAAACACAGAGAGATCTTCTTCTTCTTCTTCTTCTTTTTTTTTTTTTTTTTTTAAGGGTTGCAAGGTGTCGGGGATATGACCCGAGGAGGAAGTGTGGCAGCGGGCTTCACACACCGGGTCCAGCCCACCTGTCGGCACAGTGGGCGCACACGCTCACTCAGAATTCACTCAAGATCCAGGATCTCATAGGAGGGGGAGAAGAGAGACCTTGCTACATACCCGGGAGTATCAGCCTGGACCGGAGCTACCAGACTGCTGCGCCAGGGTGCAACCTTCAGGGTCCTGCATCCCCGAGGCACCCGGCCGGGAGGCCAATGCACCGCAGTCACCAGGTGTTGTGGGGATGAGAGTCACTCCTGCTAGGAAGGGGTACTCATCCCCACTGAGCCAGCCCCTCCCAGAGCCGTCTCCCACCATGGCCTCCAGCAACCCCAAGGGGAGGCGAGTGCCTGCCGTACCGGACAACCCAGGAATATACAGGGTCTAGTATCTGTTGGGTACCCTCTCAGGTGGACCCCCAGGTCAGGTCTATGCGCCATGTACATTTGTGCCCCCTGGCCATGCGCGTGGTCAGCGTGTGAGTGGTAGTGCGTTAATCTAACGCCCTGCAGGCGGCCTATGCACGAGGCTGCGGGTTTTTGAGCCCACAACCTCAGATTACAATGTGCATTTCCAACTGGTGCCCAAACCACTGGGCCATCCACCACTCACGAGACAGATCATTTCATTCCATTGATTACTTTGTTTCGACGTAGGAATTATCTCATTCGGTTGAGTAGCATATCCGTATCAATATCATTTGTCAATTGGGTGGAGGAATTCATTCAAACTTGCTTCTAATCCCAAACATGGATGAAAAGAGAAAAGAAAGAGATCGAGGGAGGAGAGGTTTGATGAGACTTGAAAAGAATCGTGACCTTCTCGCTCGGGCTACGACGGGTCCGTAGCGTTCGGCAGTGTGCTGTTCAGTCAGGCATGGAAGTCGCTATGACCACCAGTCTCCGGTTTGACATCAGGACGACGGCACTGTGCTGGCTCGAGTGTGGGAAGTCACCAGAGCTTCTGGTCCCCAGCTCGCGGAGGGATCGGCTGAGAAAGACGGACTTGAGCCGAGGTGTACAATCATAGCGGCCGACAGTTTTTCCACGAGACTCAAACGGGAGAGCCTGAGTAACGACATTGTCCCGGTCCATCGATGGAAGGCTAAGCCCTCCACAGAGACCGGGACTTTACAAGCGTTCTTTGGGAAGGCATGGTGTTCGAAGCAAGTGACGACAAAGAGCTGCAGTGACAGTATGAACTTGAGAAAGGAAGGAGCGGTGGGGGATAGGTGT